GCGAGTTGATTCGGCGCATGTCCGGAATCTGGGTATATCTCTGCGGCCAGGTCGTAGTAACCTTTGGCCGGGCCCCAATTGCGGTCCTTGTTCTTCTCAACGAGTTCGGTTTCGCGGTAGCGGGAAAGGTCGCCGAGTTGGATGAGCGTCTGGTGGCAAGAGATGAGGACCTGCGTTTTCAGGTTCGCGGCGATGCGCTGGCGCGGGGAGGACTTGGAGGCTGCTCTCTTATCAGCAAAGTCGCGTGGTGCACACCGGGCGTGCTTACTATCATCCTTCCATTTCTGGGCGATTTTGCGCAGCTCTGGGATGCCGTCGAACTGAGTGTCGAGGTTCAGTATGTATTGGCGGTAGAAGCGCTGGCTGGCCTTGATAAACTGCAGATAGGTCTTTTGGAACTTGCGGATCTCGACAACATGGTCCTTGGATCGCTTGAGCTGCCATATGTTAGCGATGCCCCTCGTCCTTCTCGCGTGGTGACGCACCAGCTTATGTTCCTGCCTGAATTTGGTGTTAACCTTCAGATGCGCATTCCACAGCGTCGTCTGGAGTTCACGGGCGGATGCGTATTCGAAGTTGGAGAAGATAAGGGCCTCGCAGGCGGCGCGGTACCTGTCGGACATTAGTCGTCGCCGGTATAAGGTGGCAATCATGCCTACTCTTGCAGCACCGCAGCTAACTCGGCGCACGGAGAGCCGCCATCAGCGCGCTTATACAGGTCCTTCTCGATCGCCTTCGCCCGTCTATACTTTTATTAGCACCCGGCCGACATCACCGGAATGGCGCAATGACGCACCTGTCGAGTTGTTCGGTGTTGGCGGCCATGCCTTCTATGTGCAGGAGCCGGCGACGTTCATATGTGACCCCACGGTCGGCGGGCAGGTCAGACGAAGGCACGGAGCAGGCGGCGGACGTTGTGGCTGGCGTGCTCCATTTATGGTGAAGGGGTATGCCCTGCGTAAAGGACAGAAGCGAGCGGGAGGGTCTCGGAGGCAAACAGCGCCCAAGACGCGGAGCTATGGCGTCAGAGTCGGAGGCGATGGCCGTGGTGAGAGGTGTGAGAAAGTGAGGTTGGTGGATGAGTCGCGAGAACTAGCGGGCGCAGCAGTCTCGGAGCTAAGGTACCACGTCCCGGCCTGGCTGGCTACCAACCCTCTCTCTTTCACCGCACAGCCAACACCCAAGTGAAACAGCCCTGCGAGACGGCACTCTCCCCGGTAAAAGGTACTGCCCCTTTCATCTACGCCTCGTCACAGTCACAATCAACCCCAATCAACATACAATGGGGATCAAGCGCTCACACCGCGATTCCTCGTCATCAGACAGCACACCCTACTCGCGTGAGACATCGGTCGACGTCAAGATTGTCCACCTAGATACCGAATCTGCCGTCTCTGACGACCCCATCATCATGAAGTGCTCACTGCCTCCGCACGAACCGCTTGCGTTCAATTCCATTGAAGACCACGATGTGCACTATCAGCAAGTTCACATGAACCGATGCAGCGAATGCCACAAGAACTTTCCGGATCAGCACTTTCTACATCTGCATATTGCAGAATATCACGATCCTATCAATGCTGCCAAGCGAGACCAGGGAGAGAAAACGGTAGGTCATTTCCTTACTTTGTTTGTCACGTGTTTGCTCCTTCCCTTTCCGGATCTCCCGAGTGGTTCCTTCCTCTTGACAAGATCGCCCACCCATTTGGAGTCAGACTGGTGAGGTATGCGGAGCACGAGCGCCTTCACAAAGACACTGTAGCTGATAGCTCGCAGTATGCATGTCTTTTACCTGACTGCGATCGCATGTGCAGCACGCCACAGAAGCGCCGCCTCCACTGCATTGATAAGCACCAGTTCCCTCGCGAATACGACTTCATCGTTGTGAAAGACGGTATCGATCGCCGAAGCAGCATGCTAATACCCTCTCACCGACGAAGAAGCTCGACAATGAGTTCGGCGAATGGCGCTGCTGGTTCTCCAAGGAGGCGGAGAGGTGAGTCCAGCGCAAGTACTTGTGACACTATGGAGATGGATCACGAAGAAGCTCAGGAAGAAGGAGAAACGCGTCGCTACCCCACCAGGCTTCGCGGGCGTGGAGGATTCGGAGGCCGCGGGCTCGCACGAGAAGATGCAGCAGGTATCACTGCCCCAAAGACAGCCACTACTGATCAGCCGACCGATTCCATGGACAGTCTGGCTTCTAGCATGTCTGCACTGAAGTTTGTTCCTCACAGTGTCCGGGTAGCGCGCACAAAGGGTAGAGGAGGAGGTGTCTGAAGATGCAGCCTTATAAGGAAAGAGAAGAGTTCGGCTGATACTTTTGTCTTTCTTCTACATTCCTGTGATCGTTCTTTCTGTTGCATCTCTTGTCAAGTCATGTTGCCTTGCGTTCCTTCCAAATGTCGGTTGCCACGTGGTAGTGGTTACAACAACATCTCACTTGACGCCATCCTCATTACGACACCACTGGTCTTCCTCGGCGATCCTGTATTGCTATCGATCGAGATAGCAAGGTATGTATACGACTTTAAGAGAATCAAACTACAGGCTAACATCGCCGCTGACCGGGTCTCCTTCCGTAATGCACCTGTCGACACAGCAATGGTGTACATTGTCTGGTTGCACTACGCGTTGCGAATCGTTCTACTCTTTTTCGATCATCTGAAGTCACTCAGGCTGGTAATAGTGGAGCTTGCAGCCGTCTGTTGTCATGTTTTCCTGATACGCGTGATCCTCACCCGACCACAACAACCGCCCCACCACCGCTTGCGCGCCATCGTCATATGCGTCCGAACTCTGTCCAGACTCATAGCCATGATGAAGCCGTCGACTGTCGCTCGCTGTGCGATCGCAAACGAATACCTGCGCCGAAGAAAACAGCCATCTTGTGACGCTGTCAATCGCCCTCGCCCGGAGCACCAAGTCGATCTCTCAAGCACCGCCATTGAACAAACGCCAGACAAGCAAACAACGGAGGCGCAAGTTCAGCCAGCGCTAAATCATGTACAGTCCCTCGTCACATCGACCACGAACGAGAGATGCGACACAGTCGCAGTCGGCGTCAGGACCATCGCTTTGGATAAGATTAGTACAGCACCTAGTAAGTCCCGGTCGGGTGCAGAGTAGATGCAATGTCTATTATACAAAAGCTTACACAGAATTTCGATAGGACGTCTCCGCAAGCCGGGCGTTTGGAGGCCAATGTTAATGAGCGAACGCACTGGCAGTACCTTTCTGGCGGCGTTGCAACCCAACGCAGACAGAGGCGCGGTGGCCACGGGAGCAAATGCTGCACAAACCTCATGTGCTGACGGATTCGGCTTGCCTGCACGCGATACTGTCACAAAGGCGTGGCAAGGGACCGACCACGAGTACCAGATTTTCACCACCTTCTGCTTCCCTGCCATGGATGCACCCGCCCCACGATCTCTTCCTCCGACGCCGCACCCTGAAGACTCCAGTGACACAGCATCCCCGACCTCAGATACAACCTTGTTCGAAGACGCGCCTGTATGCACACCCAGCCAGTTAGGATGCGATGAAGACATCAGTGCGTACATAGCTTGTAACGACGCATCGATGGAAGGAGTGTCAATCACCCGGACTCCCCAAATGGCAGAGCACGAAATCGATTCTGTCGCGAAACGCCCTCTTCGGCATCGTCGATACGTCTCTTCTCAATCAAGCTTAGACGTTACCGAAACGCCTCAAATCCCGCTTCGGTCAAGATCAAGAACGAACGATGGACTGTTGTTGTTTCGGGCAAATTCTTCCAAGGAAACCACGGATGACGCCCCTGAAATAAGACACCGTCGGAAGGTCTCTCTGAACCTTCCAGTCAACACACACGCAAGCCAGGCCAGCGCCACCCAGCCATTTGGAAAGCCCGGTGTCAGAAGTTGTACAAAGCAAACGTCTGGCATGGAGACCGCTTACTATACCACCAGCGTAGACGCATTGACTCCAGAAGAACGGGATCTCGAGTATAAGCACCGGCATACATTCATAGGAACTGGCTCGCTAGACGACTTCCTAGAAGCACTGGAAACTACACCTAACCATACCGCTACCAGAGATGCAATTGCTCGGGCATTCGTAAAACTGGCAGCATCAGAGCAGCTCTACGCTCGACAATGTTCTGCTGGTCAGGGGTGGGATCTAGTTATGCGAACAACACTGAGCCTCATGGACGTTACTAGCGTCGATTACGTTGTCCAGTCGCAAGTCAAGCTGGGCTCCATCACGCTACGGCAATTCCAGGACTTGATACCTTTCGACGAAGTCGATGAGGTTGCGGCACTACGTATTGTAGAAGCGTTCTCTATTGCTAGCCATTTGGATGCGACGGCATGTATGGGCGCACGAAGTAAGGCACGAGCTTTCCGGGAGTGGATGGTCGACCAAAAGAGGGTGGACGCAGATTGTTGAGGACAACAGCGATGAAGTACGCGCACTTCCCCCTATTATACCCAGTCAATTTTCCTAGCATCAATACCCCAATGTCACTGACGTATCTTCCTATGTACGCTCCTATACTATTACTCTTCGGAGAGTTTATGATCAGAACAGTGAAGCAGACACAATTCCTTGTTTCATTGAGTGTCTCTCCTTCCCATCTGGGCAGTATCTCAAGGCACGTGTCTTCCCTACACCCACCCCGGCCTTGGCGCCTACGCTTCTTGGCCTTCTTTTCGATATCGTCTCTTGACCTTCTTCCCTGAGTTGATCTTACGCCTTCTTCGCACTCTCAAAACGCCATTCAGCTCGCTCTTGCCCACTCATTCCAGAACCTCACGGCTTCCCCCATCGCGCCAAGGCAGGTCTCCTCCCAGTCCGGACTTTCACTGAAGGTCCGTGCTCCGCCTTACTACCCCCACTCGATACAGTCTGCAGCCGCTTGCACTGTACTCTCTACTCACACGCAATACACCGGAGGCAATCGATCCGTTCGCCACATAATTGTCACATACTCACGCGAATCGTCGATAGCCACTACGATGTCGAGCCGCCCACTACCGTCATCAAGCGTTCTGCTAGGAGAAGTCAAGGCCACTGTCTTGCGCAAGTACAAGAAGAGCGCGTCAGTCTTTCTAGAGGACGCCGCTCTTGATATGATGCTTACCGAACATCCCGGTGACATCCAGCGCTACGCCGGATTCTACAACATGGTTTACCTCTTCCTCGACCCTTCTCACTGCCAAGAGTCAAATCGACCGTTTGCGAACCCCCTTCTCACCGATGAAATTAAGACTCGTTTCATTTGGAATAAGAAGGAGTATGACTGCGCCGATTACCTCGTAGACGATGACGATAATGACCCTGAATCGATTGCGGCTGCAGCAGTTCGACCTTTTGAAGGGTCCATCGGCGCACCCATCATTATCGCTACGGAACAGGTGGTCGCTATCTCGAAGAAGACGCAGAAGAAGACGTCTGCCATTCAACCTAGAGAGAACATCAAGACGCGGCTTCGACGCGTATACAATGAGCGCCAAGAGGCAAAGAAGCTTGACAGCTGGCGGGAGCTGAAGGCTACAGTAGAGGCCACTGCGACTTGCGATCTACCTGCCCACGTCTCTACTACTCAATTACACTTCTGGAACGCCGTCTTCTTAGACGTTCTCCCGTCGTTACCAACGCCCGAGCGCGCCGCTCGCCTCTTGGCTCTTGAGAGTCGTGATACCACCGATGAAGATCCCAAGCCATGGTCTGATATCTGGCAGACATACCAGTATGTCCGTGACTTCAACAAGGTTGAGACGACTGGGTGGGACGAAATACTGCGCGACTTGTCCGAGAACTATCAAGACTTCTCCGAGAAGCTGATTGATCTCGACGTGGCCACACGCATGGCTCTGGGTCTGCCGGTCGTATTGCCGCCAGTCCGCGAGGTGAACACGTTGGTGCTAGCCGAGTCCACTGCTTCCAAGCCATCGATTCCTCACACACCGTTACTCCAAACTGGCGCTCGTCGTCCCAAGCTCCTCCCAAAGTCTCAGACTACGCGGAAGGACTTCGGGTTGGCTTGTTTGGCTGAGAAGGCTACTATAGCTCCTGATTTCGCTGCACCACCGGTTTCTGCCTCAGCACCGACCGACACCAACATATTCGGGCTTCCTACGTCGGTGCTACTACAGTCCGCTCCAACCGCACCGCTCCCCGGTACACCGAGGTTCGACTTCGGCTTCGCTAAGAGCACCTTTGACGCACCAAATTCTGCGTGCGCTCCGAAGTTCAATGAAGGCGCTGGCTTCGGAAGAGATTACACACCTCAGACGCCCAAGTCGTCTTCGGCTGAGCAGATTACACAGGTCATTGCTCCAATTGTCGAAAAGACAAAGTCTCTCTCCGTTGTGTTCGGTGCTCCAATCGTTGGCTCTGACTCATCATCGCCGCTCGTGCCAGATCTTGACGCCCACCTTTCCGAGCCAACTGCTGACTTGGACACTGATGATGAAAATGGAGATAAACATAAGTGTGAGATCCGAACAGCTATCAAAGCGAAGCCTATGGGCCGAAGTTACGAGCCTGTTTTGGAGAAAATCGTTGAAGAGCACGTCGAGCAGACTTCCGAAGAGCCCAAGAATGGCGACGAGAAGCGAAGTTTCGACAACGATCACGAAGACGACGACTACCTTAGCGGTTTAGTGGCCTCACCATGTTGGCTAACAACGAAAGATGACTTCAAGCATATGAGAGATGCAATGTCTCTCTTTCGTGAGAGTAATTCGCGAACCTACACCGTTGGGGAATTTGCAATCGACTACGTTATCAAACGAAGCCTAGATCTTCCGGCAGAAGAATTGATTCCTAGAATCACTGAGCTATTGAACAATTTGCCTTTCGACCACAGATCTTTCATTCAGACTGTAGATGACAACGGAGTTGAAGCAGCTGCGAGCTTTGAGGAAGCATTAGAAGACCTTGAGCCGTATCTAGTAACTCCATCGACCGTGGCGGATACACACGGCGCCTCTCCTGCGACTGGTCTGCCTATGGCGCATCCAGAAGACGTCAAGGTTACTATTACTGTGCAGAGCGCGCCCATTATGGCAGTGATCGCTGAACGTCAAGCAATGTACGAGGATGACGAAAGTTACAACTACGTCAACGGCTACGAATACCTGGCCCAGTTCGACTGCAGCGACCACGACTCACAAGCTGATGATGGCGCGGATATCGACCGATCAGATGCTCCCGACGAACTTATGCCAGAGATCGGGGGCAAGTCGGCATTTTTGGAATACGAAGTCGACCATGTTGAGAGTGATTCCGCGTCCACTGTCACACTTACTCCCTCATTGACGCACTCGCCTACTTCAGAGACCGAGCTTGCCATCGATACCGACATGGCAGAAGAGTACATGCTCGACGGATACGGGCGACCCCTCGAGCTAACCGGGATGCCACAAAAAGACAAGAAGTTCTTGGACGCGGTACATACGAAGATCGTCGCAGAGACCGATCAGTATGAGTTCGACTGGGCTGAGGTAGATTGCCTCCTGGGCCCTCAAGATGAGGAAGATGACGACGACGACTACATTGTACCCACGGTCGACGATGACGGGAAACCCATTAAGCTTACACTAGACATAATCCCCCTTCAAGAGGATTGGGCCCAAGTTATTCTCTCGGAGGTCTTCCCAGACTTCGAGCAGGCTGAGGCTAAGCTTCCTGATGTCGCGCCGCAACTCCGGTTGGAAGTTGATCAGACGTCCTTCGCAGCCATGTTCGATTCCGGATATATGTTTATTTCGCCTGGTATCGCGGAGGACACTTCGGTTGAGTCAGCGAAGTTGCCAGCAATGCAGCTAGTTGACACTTTGGTGCCCATTTTCACGTCTATCTTCGTCGGCTACGATACGCTTCTGCATGAGCCGTATCCACAGGCTGCAGCAGTTGACACTAATGCGGGAGAGAAGAAGGTCGACTACCGTCTACCAAGTCCCGCCGTACACGAGGTGGCGTTCAAAGCTGTACCCAACAAGGACCCAGGACCACAAAATGGCATCGGAAGTAGCAATTCTGCTCATCGCAACTTGACCACGGCTCAGCCGCTGACGTCCAACCGGCATCACCCAGTCTATGACCTCCCGCGCTCTGATCTAGCGGTATATGATTGGCTCAAGCCTCAACCAGATAAAAGCCTGGCAAACATCAGCACGAACGAGCCGGGCGTGCCCGCACCGTTCGATGTGGCCGAACTTTGACGGTACACCCGCCATCACGGAGCGAGAGAAGTACATAACAAGCGGAATTATGAAACAACAATTTCGAGCTCCCAAAGAGTGAGCCTCGCGAACCCGAACGCAGAATCGAAGGAAAATGACGACCCTTTCGGGAGTGGTGAGCTCAACGAGCACCCACTATATGCGCGCTCCGAAGCGTGCAATGCCCGCATCGCTCCACGCCTGAAGATGTACTCGGAGAGACTTCCATAGTCGGTTCATCGCTATATCCTGCGATTATTTCGCAACGGGTTACGGCTTCTCTTCACCAATACGACAACGATTGTCCCGTCCTGGCCAGACATTGGGACTGACAATCACCTCTGAACTCAAGCCAGACTGTCAAACTCGCGACGATATGCCCGCCTTCGCCAAATAGCCAAGGAAGAGAGCAAACGCCGCTCTGCTGGGTCAAAGATCCAGCAAATGAAACCAACACTTTGGATGCCTGTGTCATAGAGCCAGTAGACACAAAGAGACACCACTTTCCTGGGCCAAGGTTCAGTCTATAGAAAATATCAAATTGCGTGCCTGAGCCAAAGAGCGAAGGCAGATAGCAAAGATCGTTCCGTCGGGTCGAAGGCTCGGCGACGGAGAAGATCGATCTGTCTGTTTTCACCAAAGAGTGAGCAGACACACCACAAAACCCCCCTTGGACCAAAGGTCCAGGCATGAGGGAGCAAGGTGCGCAACCACTGCAATTGCGAAGAGAACTTGTCGCTCAAAGATGCGACATGACAAAGAGAACCACGGCGGCCACAAAGTTAGCCGTCTCGTCGAGGGTTCCCGAGGTGTGCATTCATGGAGAAAGACAATGTGGTATTTCCAGCGACGATTCGAGGAGATTTGAGGGTTGGTATGCGCATGAAGTGTCACGGTAGAATCCGTGTCAACGGTGTTGGAGGTTGTTTTGAATTTCGCCGACGACATTTCGTTAGCACACGCGCGCTCAATGTGCGCGCAGGAAGGTACGAGGATGTGAGAAACCTAATCGGGTCGCGAAACACCAAATCGGTGACTTCTAGAGCGGTGTGAGATGACAGGCAATCTGACCGTTAGTGATGGCTTCCCCGCCATCCACAACGCTACTTTAGATCGCGCAATCCTTTGAACTGTCATCTCGACGATGCAAATCCTTGATCGAGAAAGAAATGCATCTTTTCTCGCATGCGGGTATGACCGTTTCGGATACGCGGCTACACCAAGACCCTAGCAACACGCATCCCACCCGATCATCCGGACAGCGCAACTCCAATGACGAGTGGAGAAAAGCATCTGATCTTCCCCGCATCATCCTTGACGCAGGAACCGATGCCACTGCCTTGATCCAAGTGCAGCCACCCGGACGTCGCGGAAGACTTGCTGCTGTTGTGACGGCCTAAGCCCTCGGCGCCCAAGACTTTTCCAAGCGCCGCCAATGCCATCTTCAAACTTGGCGACTTGCATTACGCACACCAGCCCCTATGTACAACGACAACCGGGAGCTGCGCGCAATCAATGATAGGGGATGGCCTGACGGGCTAGACTAGATGGCCAAGCCTGTCGTGAGTTTCGTAGTCATTTTAACGAGTTTAAACGACCCAACCCTAGCCTCGTACCAACACCGAAGGATGACTACCAAGCGTTGCACTGTCGCCCAGCTACTGCTGCGGCTCAACGCCGTTACTTGGCTGACGGCCGAAGGGGTTTCATAACATCACGACTCGCCATCCTAGAATGTCCGTTCTCTCGTTTTCCCTCGCTTCCTCCACACCAACCTCAGGCTCCGCTTCACGTCGCTCGCTGTGTAGTGCCTCAGGCGCACTCGTTAATCCACGCATGCCGAATACCCAACATCTTTCTTTCCAGTGATACCCCGGAGCTTCCGCCATGAGACCTTCGAACCTTGTTTTTGCAGCAGTCGGCCTGCTTTCCTCATTCGCCACTGCGCAGCTGGAGTTCAATGTTGACGATCCAGGTGCGCTCACTGCAACTGTTTTCGGACCCCACTAACACGAATAGCCTCTATTAAGGATGCGACAAAAGTTGTTGCGGCGGGCTTAAGAGAATGGTACACTGGTGACAAACCCGGCGATGTACCTGGAAACTTGCCAGACCCATACTACTGGTGGCTATGCGGAGCCATGATGAACTCGTTCATCGACTACTGGTACTACACCGGCGACGACACATACAACAAGATTGTACAGCAAGCGATGGTGCACCAAATCGGTATCCCAAAAGCCTTTATGCCAGAGAATCAGACAAGCACATTGGGAAACGACGATCAGGCGTTCTGGGGAATGGCTGCCATGTCAGCAGCGGAAAACAAGCTTCCAGATGTCGAAGGAGAAATGTCGTGGTTGTCACTCGCCATCGCCGTATTCAACACACAGGTACCGCGTTGGAATCCCGAAACATGCGGCGGTGGACTCAACTGGCAAATTTTCCGATTTAACGCCGGATTCGACTACAAGAACACAATCTCCAACGGATGCTTTTTCAACATCGCAGCAAGGCTGGCAAAATACACAGGCAACGAGACGTATGTTGAGTGGGCCGAGAAGGCATGGGATTGGCAGTACAGTGTTGGTCTCATCAGTACAGATTACCATTTCTTTGGTAAGGATGCTCCTGAATATGTATCAGATGATATACGTGCTAACATGTACCTTTCCTAGATGGTACCAGCGAGAGACAAAACTGCACGGAAAAGAACCACATCCAATGGACCTACAACGCTGGAATTCACATGGCGGGTGCCGCAGCCTTGTGGAACATGTCAGAAGCAAAGGGTGATACGGTAAGGCTTCTTGAACCTGATCTAACTCCACCCTCATTCTAACGCAACAAAGGAACGAGCAGGCAGATGGCGAGAGCGCCTAGGCGGTGTTATCAATGGTACCGACATCTTCTTCAATCAGCAAGGAGCCCCAGACGTCATGATCGAAATGGCCTGCGAACGCAACGGACTATGCGACCACGATCAACGATCCTTCAAAGCCTACCTCGCCCGCTGGATGGGCTGGTCGATGCTGGCCGCCCCCTGGACCCGCGACCGTATCATGCCAAAACTCCGTGCCTCTGCCGTGGCAGCTGCGCAACAATGTGGCCCCGGAAAAGGTGGCTGTGGTCTGAGGTGGTGGCAAGGTGGAAACGACAAAGAGGTGGGCGTTGGAGAGCAAATGTCTGCATTGGAGGTGATGCAGAATTTGCTTGTTGATCAAGTTTCTGGTCCCGTCGGACTTGATAATGGTGGAATCAGTGAGAACGATCCTACTGCAGGAAGTGACGCGGGACCTGTGCGTGTTGAGCATGACTCTATCACGACAGGAGATAAGGCGGGCGCTGCGATCCTTACTCTTCTGGTATTCGCGGTGTTCTTTGGCGGAGGCGCCTGGCTGATTATGAGCGAATAGTTTTACTTCTTAATTCAAAGCATTTTACACTTCATCACATTGCGCGAAATGGGACATTGGTACAGACTGTACACTCAAGGCTCTATCACCGATAATCACCGACAAGAATGCGGGGTGGAGTGGTGCCATGCTTGCCAATAACGTATGCGTTTGACGCGTGAAAGCAGTGTGACTCTAAACCTGCAGCATCGTATACGTGTGTATTAAGATCTGCATGCATTTGTAATGTCCCGATTTCCATGTGTATACACTGCAACCTATGAGAGGGCGTGGCATGACATGAGCGTGCAGATCATTCCCCGAATGAGCGGGGATAGTGACTTCCTAACTCGGAATTAGCGCGAGTATCCCCAGGTACAGCTGCATCACCTCAGCCCAGCGATCAGGCATTTGTAAGCCCGCCGGCTACACCTCCGACACCAGAACGACGATATAAGGCTGCTACCAATCTACCAGTCTCAAACGATTGTCCAGTACTCGCCTGGTCTCACAATCGCAATCGTGGACAGTAACCAATAGCAAACATGACGTCAGCTAAACCCTTCAGCATCGTACCAGCAGGCGCGCAACAGCAGCCCACACCATTCGAGCTGCATGTTGAGGAACAAAAGTTGCAGGACTTCAAGACTCTGCTCAAGCTGAGTCCGGTCGCGAAAGAGACGTATGAGAACAAGCAGAATGCGGGAAGCCATGGCCAGTTTGGGATCAGTCGGCAGTGGATCATTGATGCGAAGAACGAGTGGATGGAGAAGTTCGACTGGTATGCAGGCGTGACAAAGATTTGAAAAGGAACGACTGTGCTGACATGCTACAGGCGCAAGGAAGAAGACCGCATCAACTCTCTCCCCAACTTCAAGACCACCATCAAAGACGACGGCGGTAGCAGCTACGACGTCCACTTCGCCGCATTGTTCTCTAGCAAGCCCGACGCTATCCCAATAGCTCTGTTCCATGGCTGGCCTGGCTCATTCTTGGAGTTCCTACCCCTCATGGAAGTTTTGAGCAACAAGTACACGCCAGATACCCTCCCTTACCACATCATCGTACCGTCTCTCCCTGGCTTCGCCCTATCGTCTGACCCACCTCTCGATCAGGATTGGAAGACGGCGGACACCTCCCGCATCATGCACAAGCTGCTTCTCTCCCTCGGTTTCGGCGCATCAGGATACCTCGTCCAGGGCGGTGATATCGGCGCTTGGGTCGCGCGAGAGCTGGCATCTACTTACGCTGAGTGCAAAGGCATGCATCTCAACTTCATGCATACGGTCGACATCAAATCCTACTCTTCACCTGAGGACGAGCTCAGTGCAGCGGAGAAGAAAGGTCTGGAGAGGATGAACGAGTTTATGGAAGTAGGCAAGGCCTATGCAGTCGAACAGGGCACTAAACCTGCCACCATTGGTCTCGTACTCTCCAGTTCGCCTATGGCACAACTAGCCTGGATCGGTGAGAAGTTCATGGCGTGGACTGATCCATCTACCACGCCTTCCGTCAACACAATCTTGTCGGATATCACCCTGTACTGGCTTACTGGCTGCTACCCGACGTCAATCTACACGTACCGAGAGGGCAAGAAAGCCAAATATGTGGACAAGCCGTCGGGATACAGCTACTTCCCATATGAGCTTTCACCCGTTCCGAAGGCCTGGGCGGCGAGGACAGCGAACCTGGCCTTCTTTAGGGCGCACGAGAAGGGCGGTCATTTTGCGGCATTGGAGAGGCCCGAGACGCTGTGGGCAGATGTCGAGGAGTGGGTCAAGATCGCTTGGAAATGAGTTGGTCGTGGCGGTGAAGTCAATGATTGTCATGAAAGATAGGAAAAATGATGTGCAAGTGGTTCAACGGGTTTAGCCTGAGATCGTGTCAAACCTAGTAGCATTGACGATAAGCTGATGATTGCGATTGTTCGTGTCGCCCGTTCACAGTTGCCACGGCAGAGTTCGGCCAATTTGCAGAGCAGCTAACATCGCACCTTGTATAGTCTCGACGTCGCTGCCTCACTCTTCAAAGCCCATGCGGGGATCATGATGGTCGAGGCCGTCAAGTTTGGGACCGAGTAAGGATTTAATCGATAGGACGTAAGCAGCTAGCGTCGAGGCTGTGTCACTCCGCCGATGACGCATGTCATACCAATAACACGACCGTGCCAACAACCACGCTGCATGCCTAATCCTCGCTCGTAACATGAAACGTGCCACATAGCGGGCGGTGCCAAGTAAGCAAACAGCAGCAGTAACAGTTGAATAAGATCGCGACACCTATAACTCCTCCCATTGCTCACAAAACCTCTTTTTCCCACTCTCGCTCGTTCGTTTCGTTGTTTCCTTCTGCCGGTTCTCCTCACCACTCGTTCTCCGGGAGACCGGCTAACACGGCATCTCGACGCCCATCACCATCGCGATAATGGCCCCTTTCCAATTCGGAGATTTGGGCACAATATGCAACTATGCGAAAGTTAAATACGAAGAGCGGGCTGAGACGAAGAGGCGCCGCAGCTACAGACGCTCGTCCAGCGACCCCACCATGAACGCTACTATACGCAAACCCCACGGCAAACTACACAAACCGCCCAAGATACAGTCGCTACATGAAAGAAAAGAGCGCCCGCGCAATAAGTTGCAGAAATCTAGACCGCAGAGTGTTATTGGGGTGGTTAGGCCGCCTGTTAATCTCTTTGCGCTGGAATACGATCCTTATCCGTATAATACGCAACCGAGTCAGTTTCTGGGCGTGTACTCCAGTATCGATACTGTCACGGCGGCTGCATTTCGACATGGCGCGTATACGTTTTCAAGAGAAGGGCTGTTGGATGGAAGCGAGTACCTGAGTCCGACGGGTCGCATCAAGATTGTCTCGCACGCTATACAGAGTGTGGGTGTTACGGCTGCGGTACCGGGGGATAGGGCTAGCAAGAAGTTCGACGACGGGGTTATGAGGCTGGATATACCGCATCCGAGTCAGCCTGTGCCACGGTTCGACAGTCAACAGGATCTTGACAAGCAAAACGTCAGCAAGGATGCGGTCTTCCTGGCGCTTCACGAAGGGCCGCAGAGCGCGTACTGCATTGGGATGTTTACGAGCAAGAGTTTGGCATGGGGTGCTTGCTTGAAAGATAAGGCATGGCTGGAGTGGTCAGACCCGCTGACTGAGGAAGAGAGGACGGTCGAGGAGAATGATATGCCGCGCATCTCTGCCAGACTCGTGGGAAGCGGAAGACACGCGTGGTTCGTGAGGGCTTTTGAAGTTGATGGAAGGTGAAGCGGAAGACCGAAGATACGACTTCACTTGTGCCTGCCAACGCACGCCATGCTGAGCGCACCTCCACGACATTACTGCGGCATGCTCCAAGAATCGATAAGCGGATAAATATGCGGCAGTCTCATACAAACACCATGGGCAGAATAACGCGACGAACGACGACGCTACATATTCAGAGCCGTAAATATCGACGACATACGTCAGCCGAGGTTTTGGTGGGATACGTGCTACGTACGCGGGCACCCACGAACAACGTCGCGTGGATGAAGACCATCATCACGTATATACTCAGCCGACGCCCTCCAAAGTACAATTTATACGGAATATGGTACTATTGTTTGCCAGACAGCAGCCTGCAGTCATAATAAGGATCGTGAACGGTTTTGGTGAACTCCATGTTCGCTGTGTAGATGAAGGGGAAGGCTCATAGAATGTACAAAATATCCCTTTTATAGACTATAACAACATGTCGCCTTGGCAGCTCTCTTCTTGCTCGCTCGCATATGGTTTCCCATGACAATATTTAGTTTCTTCAGAGGAACATGCGTTACATCTTTCTTTGTTTCGATGAATTTTGTGGAAACCATACTACTATCACAGCGGCAATCTGGGAATGACGACCTCATCTCGCCGCCGACATACTTTCTGTTCCATGATCTTTTTAGAATTGCCCCGCCACAAGTCATTTTTACGTTGCCTCCGCATTTTGGTAAAGGAAGCGGTGGTAATAGAAGATGTGAGAAGAGTGGAGAGTCAATTTATAGACGATGTGGATCGAGAGACCGGCGCATGAGTGCACAGGCTACCGTTTTTGGAAGGAGAGGAAACCACACGAAGTTGGTATCCATATTTTTGGTTAGAAGAGCAGCGCAGACACTTTCGAGGGGCGAGACAGTCTTTTGGATCCCGAGACTGAGGAGACATAGGTCCGAGTAGTTCACTTTTAGACGAAGAGAAGATGACGCTCGACATCGAATAGCTCTTGGTCGGTTTTGGAAGGAAGAAGGAAGGCACGCACATGCGGTGCTCGTCTTTCAATTTTTGTGGCAAAGAAGCGGGTAGAAGTGTCGTCCCCTATCTTTCCGTGGATGTATTTATGTAGCGCATCGATGCCGAGACATGTGTTTTCAGCTGTGTAGTTTTTGGAAAAGAGAGGAGAGACGACGCGACATGAGTCGATCGATGGGCTTTTTTGGTTGGGAGAAGAGCAAAGCCACATATGCCTTCTCTAAGGAAGTTTGATACCAGAGTATAGGAAGGTGTCTTACGTCTTTATCGCCGGAAGTGTGCTTATATACCCTTTTGCGCTAGTGTCATGACATCGAAGTGGACATGGTGCGAACAGCACAGCGGAAACGCTGCCCATGATGATGTTGATGTCGACTTTAAGCAAGAGACTATCACAGCATACAGGCTATGGTTCTCAATTTGAGTGAGGGCAACGCGCTGACACATGGACTCTTTGTTTCAATGTTTTGAATACGTGTATAGATGATAGTGTCCTCATTCACCCTCGTCATACCAACTAGCGAATACAGTTATAGTCATCGTATCCGAATCGCGCGAAATTTGGAGAGATGGGAATACGGAAGCGCTCAACATGCCCCTTCCGTGGTGTATATTTATTTTGGGGGACTGACGGTCGGAGCAGTCATTGGACATGTCGTCATTGGCTTTCGCGAAGGGGTGAAAGGTGAGATGATTGTTAGACGCAAGATAGAGCCTTCTCAGACCATGTGCGCTTTCGTGCTCTGATCTGGAGAGAAGCCACCGACATGCATCTGCTCGAAGCCGTTTTTGGAAGAAGGCAAAACCCACATGCCAGCGCTCTCAAGTCATTTCGGAAGAATAAATTGCCAGATATGTTGGTGGAAGAGAAAGGAAGAAGCGTTTTAGGTGAGTTTATATAACTGTCTGCTAGCCAGAGCCTCCTGTTCGCGGAATAAGGATTGTGGATGTGGCAACATGGTGTGCTCACATCGTAATGTCGGGGACAGTTTTTGGGGAGCTTCCAAAGCTAAGTAGAAGAGTAGTGTAATACTCCAATCATGGATCTCGAGACCTCTCTTCTTCATGGACAGGTCGCTCCCTCTATTTGATTGCTATGCACGTTGTCCTGTGCAAGATATGCCGGAGAACACTGAGGCAGAGAAAATAGGATTGTTATAGCCGTCTCCAACATCAGTTGCTCTCATCGATATTTGGATATTTTGGCACTCCGCATGAGTCAAGCATGCGATGTTTTAAGAGAAAAAGAAAGGAACGCACACATATGTATGCCATCCATGAACTTCAGAGGAGAAGACACCCACACATGTTTTGTCGTGAACTGCATTTTGAAGGGCAGATTCTGGAGTGTATTATAAGAGAATAGAAGGTGAGAGAAGTATCGAAACTTTATAAAGCCGTCGCTGACTCCGATAAGTGGGACGAAGGCGGACGACGGAGAACATTCGATAGCTCGCCCGTTGTTTTTGGAGAAGAGCAATCTTCTCATGTAGCCAGATCATTGCTTTTTTGGAAAGGCCAACTTTCAAGTGCTGTTTGGAAGAGAAGGGAAGTAGAAGGCTAGAGAGACTTTATATACAGCCGCTCGCTGGTAGCCTAGAACTAACCCAGTCCAGACACAGCGCAACAACACATGCGAACATATTTCGGTACTCTCCTTATTTGAGTAATTAATGACAAGTCCCGCTGCACACATGACTGGAGTTTTTGATGCATTTTCTGGCGCCGCTAATTCTAGACACACGCTCTTGGGACGTTCTCCGAGTTTTGCTGATGATGGCAATGGACAGTGAGTGTTTTGGTTTTGAATAAGCTGTCACACAAACAGCTTCATGCAGCCGCATTATGGGTTTTTTTGAGAGACGGCGCAGAGGCAACATGGTCCAGAGGCACGCCACTTTTGGCAAATAACATAAGGACAATGTTATGGTAAGAGAAAAAAATGAGAAGCAACGGTTGAGATGTTTATATGCACATCAGCTAAATCATTGGAGGTCAACGGTACAGTTTGGTTCGCAGTGTTTGAATGTAGTTGCAATGCAGGCACAGCAACCGGGGAAGACATAAAACTGGTAGTCGAGTTTTTGATATAAGCGGGCAACAACATGATGCATTTGGACTGTAGTTTTGAAGTGATCAAGTGATCAACAAGTCGGATCTCAGTTCTCATGGGCAGGAGCATTGCGTCTTTTTGGTAGTTTAGAGGATGGCGGAACAAACATGCGTTGTGTGCCGGCCAATTTTTGAAGACAGCAAGCAGCAGAACACATAAACCGTAATTAGTTGGTTTTTGAGCAGCAAGCAAAGTTCTTGAATGGTAGAGGAGGCAAGAGAGAAAAGGTTGGAAGAGTGGTATTTATACTAACTTCATCGACTTGGTAGGGTGTGCTTGGTACGATTCTGAGGCGTGATGTTGAAACACATAGCATCAGCCTGGTAGCTTTTCGGTGACAAGGCGCAACAGGTCGCGCTGCGTTGATGTTGTCGACAGAATATAGTCTGGGAGCTCTGTTGAAGTTCCAAATCCCTCTCAAGACGGAAGACTTAAATGGAGTGACTAGTTAAAAAGCAAAAGTTCGTTCGGGTGTGACGATGTGAAAACCGTGTTACTCGAAAAAAATACATCACACTTCAGAGATGTGACATTAGTTCTCGCTTTCGTTTACACGTACATCGTGTCGTCGAAATACACCATTGGCTCACGTTGCTGACACGATCAGTGTGACTGAGTGTGCCTCCAGCGTCTCGTATTGCTGACTGAACGAGAGTTTTGTGGATACCGCAATGTGGCGACGCGGGTACAACATGCGACTTCCCGACGCACGCCTACTCCACCTGCAGAACCGGGTACGACACCAGCGAAGATTCGTGCCTGGTGGCTGCCACGCCAATATGTCAGAGCTTATAGTTTCCGAACCTGGATCGCCAGAGGCGCATGTCAATCTGTAGGTGGCCGCCGATCGCCTATTGATATCGCGGCCCGTGCGACGTATACGAAAGATGACTATGGTGTTGTTGTCTCTCAACAACCCGCGATCGACATGTCGTGGTCGTTTGTAATATGACAGGGTGGTCAGACGGACAGCGGAGGGTAGAACAGTGTCGGCTGAGCGAAGCGGCCGTCGTTTCTGCAGCGATCATGCGCAGCAAAGCAGGAATGCGGTATGGTTACCAGCTCATTGGGCCTGTACAAGGTAGCATATTCTGATGGGTAACTGCATTGACAGCTCGCGATGGTGCAGGGTTCCACACCTCCTTGCGTAGCCATGTGTTCGAGAAGCCGGAAAGATCGCATTTCCTGAGTTTCCCCTGGCGCTATCGTGATGGGAGTACGAGTCAGATGGGCGCATGTCTATCTCGACAGAATGTGTTCTTCCAATGATCCCAACCTTGCATCACGCGTGATAGGCAGCCTCATGCGCTCGATCGACCAGGGTGTGTCCGTGTTGACCATGCAGAAGGTATGCCGCTTGGGGCTTGCGGAGAGTTGTGCAGCCGAATGCAATGAAGCTGCATCGCGAGATGCGAAAGGTGGCTGCAGGATCGAAGGCGTCCACACTCGCTGCTTCTTCGGCGTTCATGTACAATTGAGGAGCTGATGTGCTCCCAAGGCCAGGGAGACGAGCCGGTCGTCTCCCGCTATCAGGGTCCTCGGCTGCGCAATCATTGGCGGTTGATCTGGTTGCTGGATCTCGAGGCGTCCCGGTGGCTAAAAGACGCGAGAGTGATGACTTCAGCCCATCACAAAAGCAGGTGCGTACCCTTGACGCAAGGCGTGCGCAATGCTAGGGCATATCAACATTACCAGGGCAAAGTATTGAATATTGAAGGAAGCGGGGAAGTGCGACGGCAGCGCTTCACGCGATAATAGCCACCGCGTCCTCTGCAAGGCTTGGTCCCGATTGCGAACGGACCTGTTTGAAGATGAAAATATGAAACTGCGAGTGTCAATTACTCAAGCGGGGTAGCTGCAAATATTGAGATGCTGCACC